ACACAGTAAAGGAGTTTAAGCATGCGTGGGATAGGCATAAGGCTATCCTAACTATAAGATAAGACTAGGGACTAATGAAAGTATTTAGAAAATTGGGCAGACTAGATGGGCCGAATGGTTCTTATCTGCCGTCACATTCTATGTTTCTATGTTTCTATTATGTACCAAATACATTTGACAAAAGGTCAAATGTCTAAAACTGGCAAAAACTATACAGATGACAAGTATCTTATAGAATAAGGTTAGAGGTTGGTTCCAACACAAGGTTGCTCATAACACAGTTCATAACAATAAATAAATATTTCAGTTCTCACAATAATGTGGAAATGGATATATCAAGATGGTAGCAAAATGCACAAAGTTGTCCACTTGTTTGACATTTTCAGCTTTAAAGCCCTTTCCAAAGATTTGATCCACTGAAGTAACATCTCTCTCTTTCTCTCTTAGTCTATTCATCCACATGACTGCCTCTCTGTCTAGCTATTGGTCTGCCTATGTGTGTGTTTATCTATATTCACCTACTATCTGTCTGTCTTGGCTGTTAGTCTGTTAGTTCATCTGCCACCCATGCATCTCTTGACTATACCAACATGCTAGCTAGGTGTGAATTTCTATAAAATTCTGCAACCTGTCCCAGTGAAATGTACATCTTTTTGATATTTGAAAATGTATATACTCTAAAGTTCTAGATATTTGCTGAAAAACAGTGTACTAATAAACAGTTCTCATGTTTGATATTAATAAATTCATCCCTGTCTCAGACATGGAAGCAATACATAATGTTTTTTTTACAGACAAATGACCAACTTAATAGAACTGGACAAAATTGTTATCCTGCTGCGGATATTTGAAATTCTTCAGTATGTGTTTGCTATTTATCCATGGTGAGATTCACCTTAGCTGTAGATCACCAAAGTTCTTTCTAAATTAGAAATTACAGGAACCAGAGCCACTTGTGAGGTTCTTGACAAAATGCATTGGCTGCAATGGTCAAAATTGAAACAATCAACATCACTATTGTCTGCAAAAATAAATAAGCAGTTTAACCCTTTTAAATATGCTTTTTACTTATTTATTTTAAATTTATGGCAATAGTAATAACTCAATTAAATCTAAATTTTTTTTTACAATCTTTATTTTAGTTTTCATTTTTTTCAAGAAATAGAATAGTGTTGTAACGCTACATACATTGCGGTGTAATAGATTGGTAAACAACAGTACAATCAGTTAATAGAGTGTCTCGTCACAAGGATACAGAGTGTTTTTTGAACGTTCGTGGGTCACGTCAATATATTTTGTTAATAAAAGGTTTCAAGTTATAAAAGCAATTGCTTGTTTGAGTATCGCCTGGTGTGGCCTGCCAGCAGTTCGTTGACGGCATTACTCTGATTTCCAAGAGTGTCATTTAAGAAAGCAGTGATTGGGGTCTGTATGCTTGAGGGGGGAGGTTAGAAAAGAGGGAAGGGGAGGTTGGGGAAGGGGGAAATAGGGCCGGTAAGGAGAAAGAAGAGAGAAGAAAGAAAGAGAACAAGAAATAAAAAATTTCATTGAGGGTGAAAGCCAATTAGGCAAGTGTGTTGTCTCGGCAGTATGGGCGTGAGCGGTTTGTCGTTTAATTAGCTACACTCCTCTTTGAGATGTAATCTGTCCATGGGAACCAGGTTGTGGCACATTTGTCTAAATGGCCTCTCAGATCCGTGATCATCATTTCTGCACTGTAGACTTCCTCTACCCTTGTAAACCATTGCTGGAAGGTGGGAACCCCTGACTGTTTCCAAAGATCTGTGGGCAGGTCCACATGGCCGGGATATTGCCATTCATGTGATACAAGACATCAGGAGTTCTATATCATTGTATTAAGAGTTTGTAACTAGTCTCTTGGGTTTTTGTGTTAATCAAGCTTTTGTGAGGCTCATCCCAGTCTCCTCCTCCCATCTAGTGGTGAATTTTAGAGGGGCCCTGTCTAATAAGAGAAGTAGCATTGTATAGAGGGTTGACATTCCTCATGTAAGGTGTCCTCTACTCAAGCAGAATGCCTTAAATTGCCTTTGTATGAGGCATTTATAAAAGGGTGGATGATTAGTATTTGCAGTTGACAATATCGGACGCGATCCACTACATTTATGTCTGGTAAGGTATTGAGTTTTTTGTCAGAGCACCAGGTTTGTAGACTGGTCCAATCAGCGACCTGGAAGCCCCCAAGATACTGGGGCTTAAGGCCTCCAGGATTGTATAGTACCGGTAGCAGAGGGTTGGGTTGGTGGTCAGCTGGAGTGAGTAGGGTAAGTTGCACAAGATCTAGATGGGTGCTTCTTTCAGTGGGTTGTTGGTTTTCATCTGCGCAGTCATCATCTCCCCCAGCCAAAGGTGGGATGGAAGTTGACCCACAGCTTGCCCCATCTCTAGGCCCACCCATAATTTCTCTTTTGGGCAGACATGCCAATCTACTATCCTGTTTCAGTGTGATTCTTGGTGGTACAATCTTATCGTGTGTAGACCCACCTGCTGCCTTGGGCATCTCCAGCATCTCTCTGCCATAACCAGGTTTTCCCCCTGTTCCTGATGAACCTCTGTAGTGCCGTTGACAATGACTGAAAGAAAGCTCTCGGAAGAACCATGGGTATAGTGTTGAAAAGGTACAGGAGATGGGGCAGTATGTTCATTTTCACCACAATGATATGTCCAAACCAGAAGACATACAGGTCGGTCCAGTGTTGAAGTCTTTTTTTCCTCTTGATAGTAATGGCAGAAAATTGTCTCGGTATAGGTTTTTCAGCTCTACGGCCAACCAGATTCCGAGGTAGTGAATCTTGTGTGTTTGCCAGGTCGAGAGGAAACTTCCCCTCTCAGGTATTTGTAGTCATTCGTAGGGAGGGTGATGTTTATGGCTTCCGATTTGTCCATATTCAGTTTGAGGTTGGATACCGTCCCGTATGTCTTGAAGAGGTTAAGGAGGTTGGGTAATGATATCAGCGGTCTCTCCAGGAAAAAGAGCCTGTTGTCCGCATAAACCTCAACTCTGTGTTGCTGTTGTCCACTGGTGAACTCTGTAATGCCCCCGTCCCATCTGAACACCTCCAGAAATTGTTCCAGCGAGAGGGCAAACAGGAGGGGGGACAAAGGGCACCCCTGTCGAGTTCCGTTGCGGATGGGGAAGGACGACGACAGAGCTCCATTGATGCGTATGTGGGCCCAGGGTGTTGTGTACAGGCCTGTCACCCTTGTTAGAATGTGAGGACCAAAACCCACGTGGCGTAAGGTACAAGTCATATATTCCCAGTTTCCGGTATCCGTCCCACGCTGGCAGAGGGTACCACACCAGCAGGCCATCTGAGAGGGATGCTTTCTTCCACCAGCTCTGCTTTTAATGTTCAGAACAAATCTAGTCTAGAGAAACCTCTACCTCCCTTGGATCTACAGCAGGTCAGAACTTCTGGATGTATTAAATCTCCCCAACAAGGACATTGGCACACACAGACTGCCAGCTCTTAACTATTAACTCCATACATACAGGACTGGACTCCTACTCAGTGTGAAAATAACATACTCACTAGAATAAGATTGCTACTCCGGCTGAAAATAACGTAATTACCGGGGAAAGATTGCTATGTCCTCTGCAGGGAACTAATCGGCAGATGTTTTGCTTATATGTATTGTAACTGTTACTTTACATGTGTATGTGTACATTGTACCTATCTGGTATATGTTTTATATAATTTATATTTACAATATTTTGGCAGTCTTTTGGATAGTTATATATTTGTAAGTGTTGGTGTTTATGCACATATACAATGCTGCTGAAAGAAGCTACTGCCATCAGAGAACACCATTATCATGAAGGGGTATACGTGGTTTGCAACAATCTCTATGTACATGTCAAAGTAACATACCAATGAATTCCAGGACTGCTCTGAGCCAGTCATGTAGGCATCACTATTTGATCCTTGTCAAAGTCACTCAGATCTTTGCTTGCCCATTTTTCCTACTTTCAACACACAATATTCAAAAACTGACTATTCACTTGCTGCCTAATATATCTCACCATTGACATGTGCCATTTTTCTGATCATTATTCATGGCAGCATTTACTCATTTACATGGGTTAGCTCCTCCCCTCACAGCAGGAAGGACAGGAAATAGACCCTTCCCCTTCTTATCAACAACAGTTTGGAAGGAGTCTGCTTAAGCAGGCCTAGATTTGTCTCTTATGCTCACCATTAGAGTTGAGCGGACACCTGGATGTTCGGATCCGGCGGGTTTGGCCGAACTTTGAAAAAAAGTCCACGTTCGGGCTCGAACTTGACCCCGAACCCCGTTGAAGTCAATGGGGACCCGAACTTTTGAGCACCGAAATGCCTCTAAAAAACTCCTGGAAAGAGCTAGGACAAGTGCCCTGCAAACAAATGTGGATAGGGAAATCACTTAAAATAACATAAAAATTAAAAATACAGCTGAGCCATAAAATAGCACTAGATGGAATCTTTGATTTTAGCTTTGGAAGAACATTAATCAAAATCTAAAGCATGGCTGTCAGGAGGATCACCAGAATTATCCATTTGAGAGAGGGTTGGAGTGCAGGGTAATCTCTTTCATTGTTCAAACTGGGCTCAACTCCCGATGCATGGAGAAAAGGCCTCTACAAGCCTCTGCTATTGTCTACATAGTTTATACTAAGTGACCCATAGGTTGAGGAGGAGATGACCATGGCAGTGTAGGTGGAAGCGGCGGTGGAGGAGGAGGAAGTAGCCAACACTGTTTATATATATATCTTTTTTTTATTTTAAATGGGGTAGCCCACAAAATATTGGGACATACAAAACAAAGAAACATTTGCGGCCTGCGGTGCATTTCTTGCAGTCCTGATGCATGGAGAATTGCTCAACTCCTGATGCATGGAGAAAAAGCCTTCACAAGCCTCTGCTAATGTGTGCATAGTTTATACTAAGTGACCCATGGGTTGAGGAGGCGGTGACCGTGGCGGTGGAGGAGGAGGATGAGGTAGCCAACACTGGTTTTTTTATATATATATATATATATATATATATATATTTATTTATTTTTTATTTTTTTTATTTGGGGTAGCCCCCAAAATATTGGGATATATAAAAAAAGACAACTCTGTTCCGCAGAGTAGCTGTTGACATTATAGTTGCTCAGGCACTTTGTTGACTCTAGAGAACCTCGGGCTAATCGCACATACCCGTGGCGGCGACTTTGCATGCGGATGTCATCCATATCAACTTTCAATGTCGGTTTCTGCGCCTACCATGGTGACTATGGGTAACGGGGAATCAGGGTTCCATTCCGTACAGGGAACCTGAGAAACAGCTACCACATGCAAGGAAGGCAGCAGGCACGCAAATAACCCACTCCCGACGCAGGAATGTAGTGACGACAAATAACAATACAGGACTCTTTAGAGGCCCTGTAATTGTAATGAGTCCACTTGAAATCCTTTAACTCTGATCAATTGGAAGGAAGTCTGGTGCAGAGCCACTGACCCGTGCGTGCTGCAGCTGAAACTCCACTATTGCCTGCTACTGCTCCCATAGTCTCATGAGGCGGTGAGGGGAAGGCTGAAGTTACGCTGCAGTGCACACAGGCTGAGCAGCAGCAGGGTGACAACACAAAAAGCGCGCACAGCCCCTACAGTGAATGTCACATCTTGTTCCAAGTTGCGGATCAGTCTGGTGATGGCTTCTGGTATCCAGTACTCTTTTTACTGAAGGTGCATCAGGGTCCTGGTATGTGGCCGCACAAACGCTGGTGCTCAACACCAGGGGGTGTGCAGTTACCCTGCACCAGACCCTGCTAATCCATTCCACACTGTGACTCCTAACTTCAACATCAGGCATACTGGGTCCCGGTCGTCCGACCGCCGCCCAAACAGTGTCTGGGTCCTGGTCTCCGGACTGCCCACCTGACTGTGAAACTACGAATGGATCATTATATCTGGTACGAACCAGAACTTTGCAGTTTGGGTTCGCTCAACTCTATTATGTATCCTTTGATCTCTATTGTATTACTTGGATAACTGGTAATTCTCGAGCTAATATATGCCGACGAGCGCTAGGGGACGGCCGCTCCTTTTTGCACCCTGCTCCCTCTAATGTTGTGCCGGTGCCTCTGTGCCTCTTCCTCCAAACTGCACATGTCACT